TCACCCAAGTGACCGCGACCAAAACCGCAACGGTCAAACAAACAAAGTATTACATGCATGGCCGAATCATTTGATCCAAATATCATCACTTATATCTGTTTTACAACTGCCAGTTTTTTGTCACTTATTTACTCTTGCGATAATACTATTAACACTTTACTTTTCGATGTCGTGATCGCCTGTTATCTATTTCTTGATTTTGACAAGCTTTCCAGTTTTGTTGTAGTCTGCGCCTGCTTTTAAGATGAAAAAACCCAACTGAAAAGTTTTCGTGCACTCAGTTCAATGAAGCAAATCGAACCTGTGAATAAGTATCTACACAATCGACACTGGTGTGACACCGACAGGACCACTTCGTTATGGGTACATCTTCTCACACTAACTCACAAGAAAGCTAGAGCGGTCATCTCGGTAGTAAAATAAACAGTAGATTAGGGAAGAGTGGTTGATTTAATACACTGGAGAGCGAAATGAAGCAATGGAGTGAGGAGGAACGTGCAAAGCGAATTGCACTTTGGTTGGAGGCAAGTAGGGTTTGACTTTGTGCATCCACGTACAGCGCGGCTGCACGTACAGTGTTGGAGGGGAAGACGCGGTTCTCACTCTCAAGCCGTCTATCCGTCTCACCATTAGATGCCGTTACAGCACCAGTTAGGCATCGTCACGAGAAGAGTGGTAACCTTCTCGGTTCTCACCATCCCCTTCCGCGATGGGTCCCACCATAGACTTGGCAGGTGAGCGCTCGAAGTGACCACTCGCTCCTCCGGAGTAGGTAGTGAAAGAGTAGAGTTTGTTAAGAGACTTCTGCAGCCCCACTGAGGGTGCGGAAGTCTGACGCACTAGATTCTGCATGCCAATCGACTCAGTGGCAGCGGCAGGGTTGCTTCTAGTAGGTGTACGTGTCGCTAGCTGTTCTGGAGTGGACGGTTGGGGAGGTGATTCGGCGCCGTACACTTTGTGTGCCTTCTTATTTAGGTTTGAAATGAGCTGGTTTGAAGTTTGGAAAGCTTCCTCTATCTCCTCCTTCCATTGTGTGATGAGAACTTTATCCTTAACAAAACATTAATTCCGAGGTCAACTTATGTTGCATAACTTTTTTACTAAGAGAATGTAATTAGTCTTGGTGTTAAGTGATGAAATTTGCAAACTGATAGATGCTTACGGTGGAAGTGATGGTGATTTTCGAGTCGTTCTTCAAAGTAATTGTCAAACAATTGTCCATTTTATACATTCGCTGAAAATCTCGTGAAATCTCCCGAATGTCAACCATCGATACCAGCTAAAAAGTTAACAAGAACTGATAGTGGCTTTATCTTGTGTACAAAAAAACAATCAATTTCATTAGAATGGTTAGATTTTGGTTTGTCATTTGCCAGTCTGCTTGTATTTCAGTACGTGCTTTCCAATGCGTTAT